AAAAAAAAAAAAAAAAAAAAAAAAAAAAAAAAAAGATGAAAATAAGAAAAGAAAAAGTAATGTCACAAGGACATAGAAACCAGATTAAAGGGGATACCTCTGGCCAAAACTGGGACAATTAGAGCACTAAAATAAGTAAGGAAAGAAATGTATTATGACCTATTAAATAAAACAAGGGCCCATACTGAAAATAAATAAATGAGTGAATAAGGAGAAGGGAGGGTTCTTTTTCAAAAGTCTAATGCCAAATGATAAACATGGAGGGAATGCTGGAGTTAGAAAGTCTCCATTTTGGGCCAGCCCGTGGCTCACTTGGGAGAGCGTGGTGCTGACAACACCAAATCAAGGGTTAAGATCCTGTTACCGGTCATCTTTTAAAAATAAAAATAAAAAGGTTCTGACCCTCCACCTCAGAGCTGCCACATGGTCATGGTACCCCACCAGCTTCTTAGCTTCCACCTCCCTGTGAAGGGCACCATCTTCCTTCCCCAGCCATGTGGACGCTGGCCTCTGAGATAGTCTGACTCCTTTGTTCTTAAAACCAAAAAAACCCATTCCACCATGGTGACCCACCCAGGTGTTCCCAATCTCTTTGATGGAACCTTGAAGAGGTGATTGGATTGTAGGACTGTGCAGTAGTATTAAAAATGACAGTCAGAGGTGTGGTTTTGAGGGGTTTAAAAGAAGAGGAGAATCTGTCTTTCTCTCTGCTCTCTCTGCTTCCACCGTCTTGCAATGTGAGACCCCTGGATCACTGTTGCCATCACCAGATAGACTTTGGACTTCCCAGCCTCAGAAGCAGTAAGCAATAAATTTCTTTTTTCTTTATAAATCATCCAGTTCCAGATATTTTGTTATAAGCAACAGAAATGGACTAATACAGAAAATTGGTACCAGAGAAGTAGGGTGTTGCTTATAACAAATACTTGAAAATGTGGAAGCAGCTTTAGAACTGGGTGTTAGGCAAAGGTTGGAGGAGTTTGGAAGACTCAGAAGAAGACAGATGAGGGAAAGTTTGGAATGTCTTAGAGACTGGTTACATGGTGGCGGTGACAAGCAGAATGCTGATTGAAATATAGACTGTAAAGACCATTCTAAGGAGGTCTCAGATAGAAATAAGGAGTTTATTGGAAACTGGGGCAAAGATCTCCCTTGCTGTGAACTGGCAAGGAGTTTGGCTGCATTCTATCCATGCCCTAGGAGTTTGTGGAAGTAGGAACTTAAGAGTTGTGAACCTGAGTATTTGGTGGAAGAAATTTCTAAGTAGCAAAGCATTAAGGAAGCTGCATGTCTACTTGCAACAGCCTATGCTGAGTTATGGCAGAAAAGGCATGATGTAAAGCCAGAATGTATAATTAAAAGGAAAGCAGAGTGTAAAGATTTAGAAAATTTGCAGCCTGGCCATGTGGTAGAGAAGCAGAGAGCATTTTCAGAAGAAAAATCCAATGGTGCTAAGAAGATTAGTACAAAGGAAAGGGATCATCGAGAGAAGGGGGAAAAGGCCCTGAAGGCATGGCAGAAGCCTCTGGAGCCAACCCTTCTATTTCAGGCGCAAAGGCCTAGGGAAACACAATGGTCCTGGGGAACATGCCTGAGGGACCCTCCATGGTGTTAATGCCCAGGACCACCTCAGGAAGTTGTTTCTAGCACCAGCACACCAGCTGCTTTGGCTGCTCCAGTTGTAGCTAAATTGGCTCCAGGTGTGGCTGGACCCACAGCTTTGAAAGATACAAGCCAGAAGCCTTCATGGTGTCCACCTGATGTTAGGTTTGCAGGCTCACAGAGTGCCAGAGCTCTGAAGGCTTGGGTGCCTCCACCCTGATTAAAAAGGATGGATGGAAAAGCCCGGGGACCCAGGAAGAGATCTATTGAAGGGACAGATTCACTATATAGAGCCTTCACTAAAGCAATGCTGAGAAGAAACATGGAGTCGGAGTTGCAGCAGAGAAACCCCATCAATGCCATGACTAGTGGAGCCGTGAGAGCCAGACCACCACGGATACCCTAGATTTGTGGAGCTACCAGCATGCATCTCCAGCCTGCAAGAGCTAAAGCATCACCTGAGACCAGGAAAGCCATAGAAGCAGAGCTGTCTGAGGACTTGGGGACCCAACCTCCACACCAGTATGCAGAGGACAAACATGGAGTCAAGGTACATGATTTGCCAGCCGTAAGATTTGATGCCTGCCCTGCTGGGTTTCGGACTTGTTTAGGACCTGTTATGCCTTTCTTTTGGCCTGTTTCTCCCTTTTGGAACAGGAATATGTACCCCATGTTTGTCCCACCATTGTATATGGGAAGTAGATAACTTGTATTGATTTCACAGATGGGACTTTGACCTTTGGACTTTTGAAACAAGACTTTGGGGATGAAATGAATGTATTTGCATGTAAAAAGACATGAGTTTTGGAGGGCCAGGGGCAGAATGTAGTGGATTGAATTATGTCCCCCCAAAATCATTGAAGCATGAATTGTGTCCCCCAAGTTTTATGTATTAGAAACTCAGCCACCACTGGGACTATTAAGAGGGCGAAAAATCCTATTACGGTAATTGAAAAGTGGAGCCTTGAAGAGGTGATTGGATTGTAGGACCGCGTAGCAGTGAATGGATTAAAAATGGTGGTCAGGGGCATGGTTCTGAGGGCTTTAAAAGAGGGGAATCTGTTTTTCTTTCTCTCTCTGCTCTCTCTGCTTCCACTATCTTACAATGTGAGACCTCTGGGTCACTGTTGCCATCACAGATGGACTTTGGTTGGACTTCCCACCCTCAGAAACGGTAAGCAATAAATTTCTTTTTTCTTTATAAATCACCCAGTTCTGGGTATTTTGTTATAAGCAACAGAAATGAATTAATACAGCAGGCCAAGGGCAAAATGGGTGACTAAACCTGTGAATGGCTTCATCCTTCCCACAAGCAGTAGTAGATCCACAGCATAAAACAGCCCTCACACCCACATGTATGAATTATATATACCGCAGGCTAGATCTGTGGTTAAGAACTGGAGTAAGATGGTCTGAGTGTGGTTTCTGAGTCCACAGCTTAAAAGTTGTATGACTGAGAGCAAGTCAACTAGTACCTGGAACTCATTAACCATTCACTCAACAATAGTACCCACCTAGTAAGTACCAGACACCATTTTAGGAGTTAACTATACAAAATCTCTGTTCTCTGAGCTTATATTCTAGTTGGGTGAGACACAAAATTTAAAAATAAATAAAATATAGAGTATGTCAAATGCCTATACATGCTACAGAGAAAGACAGGGCACATAAAGGGATAGAAAGTGCAGGAATAGGAGGCACAAATGAAATTTTAAATAGTCAAGGAACAGTTCACTGAGGAGGTAAAACCTGAACAAAACTCTAAAGGCAGAGAGGGAGCCAACCATGCAGATGGGTGAACATTGGGGCAAAAGAGGACAGCAGGTGCAAAGGCCCTGGAGCAGGGACCTGCCTCGGTTGAGGGATGACTGAGATGAAATCTTAAACTCTTTGACAGCAGGTAAAGGAATTACACTGGCAGTAGCTCAGTAAATGTTGATGGGAAAGAGGAAGCCAGAATAGAAAGAGAGATATTAATTGAATCCAGAGATTTTGAGGTTGAATTTTGGAAAGAGAGGAAAAGAAGCATCAGTTTTAAAATGTTGAAAAAGACACAGGATTAACTGATTTTATGTACTATTCTTTTGGCCTTCTCTCAAAACATATTTCTCAAATGGAGATGATTCAAAGAACTTGAAAATCTTGTTTTTGTTTTTGCTTTCTGGCTTTGCTTTGAGTTGAAAATAAGATTTTTTTTTTTCTTTTTTACTATAGTGGAGACATTTGGCAGATATACAGAACCCTTCACGATTATGGTTTGGAGTTTACATTAATATTCTCAAAACAATTTTATTACTTGAAACAAATTAAAATACCATTTAAACAATAACAAGTTTATAGTGGAATTACCAGTCATTTATGAGTAGAAAGGACGTTTTCCCCCCAAGTGGTCAAGAGAATTGGGTCAGAGATTTGGATGTTCTTTTGCTATGTTTTGTACAGTCTGTATTTGCCTCTTCAAATGACTTTTGATGACTTTTACATGACTACATTATTGTTTTCATAAATGATATTTTTAGGAATTGGAAATAAAAAAAGTTCTAGTAGTCTTGCCACTTGTACACTTAATAACGTGTAGCTAAATGCCTCTTTCCCAAAAAGTAAGGGCTGGCTGGTAAACTCAGTTAGTTAGAGAGTGGTGTTAAAACACCAAGGTCAAGGGCTCAGAAACAAACAAACAAAAAAGTGACTGAGAAAAATACCAGCCAGGATTTTTAATGATAAATGGATGTTTTTATATAAGACAGTAGCAATACCAGAGGACATAACAGTGGTTTGGTTGCTGGTTTGTTGTTGTTGTTGTTGTTTAGCTAGCTTTCTGTTGTTTAATTAGAGAAGGAAATTTTTGTGTGTGTGTGTGTGTGTGTGAGGATTTTTCAACAGTGACAAGTGGACAAGGCTCTGGTCTCAAGATACAATCTGTGCCAATTTGGTTTTCAATGTCACCAAAGTATAATTAATTTTAGAGTGACTCCACTTTTAGTCTTTTCTCTCCCACTAAAGATTTTTGGGTAGGACCGCCCCAGTGGCGCACTCGGTAGAGGGCAGCGCTCCCGCCGAAAGTTCGGATCCCATATAGAGACCGGTCCGCTTACTGGTTGAACGCAGTGCGGGCGCGACACCGAGGGTTGCGATCCCGTTGCCGGTCATGAAAAAAGACAAAAAGGGAAAAAAAAAAAGATTTTTGGGTAAAAAATGATTCTTATATTTAGCCTCTCTTATAACTGCCTTTTTTTTTTTAAATAAAGTTCTCCATTATTCGATTGAAAGGTAATAAACTTCAAAATATGCCAAAACAATATAGTTGAATGCTTAACTTTATTTTTTTCCTATTGCAAAAGTAATGCATATTCATTACAATAATAACAGGTTGGGAGCACAAAAGGTATAAAAGAGTAGATTTAAAAACTGCCTATTGTCCTATCCCAGGGAAAACTATTAACATTTTGGCATATTTCACTTCATCAGTCTTTTCCTATGTATTTTATAATATAGCTCAGATATTACTATATATAAAGTCTTATATCCAGCTTTTCAACATAACATTATATTAAAGTCATTTTTTCTATCAATAAAAATTTTCTTTGTAAACATAATTTTAATGGCAGAATAATATTCCATCACACTACAGTCTATTTAAACATTCTCCTAATATCAAACATTAAGTTAGAAGAGTTAGTGGGTCAAAGCATATCAACATCAAGACCACTTTGTATCCTAGAAAGGTTGTTCTTGAGAGCACAGGGAGGAGCACAGAGAGGGTGAGGGGCCTTGTCAAGGCCGCTATGAGAAGGAGAAGGCTCACAGGTCCTGGCCTAGCCGCTCCAGCTCATTGAGAAGGAAGTCAATATCCACACAGGTCAGCGCTGGATTGGCCACCACCACACGGAAGAAGTTGGCCCAGGGCCCATGGGGCTGGTAGCTAATCATCATGGAGCCCTCCTTCACCATGCGCTCCTTGAGCATGGGAGCCACCTGTGGGAGTGGTGGAGAGAGGTTCCAGCCTGGGGTCAGGTGAGGGAGCAGTTGGCTTCCTGGCCTGCCTGGCTACCACAGACACTTTTCCTTCCCATCCAGCCACCTTCCTGAGGTAGCACCCATTGGTCAGGCTCTGACCTTGGCCCCAGTTTACCTTTCCACCACTTCCAACCTGCTTGGCCTTCTCTACCTTCTGCTTTATTCCCCATTCCTCCTGTCTCCAAGAAAGTTGTCACGTGGGCCGTTTTTAGCCAATTACTGACCTTTCTCTGATTCCAACACTGCTTTAATCTAACTTCAAGTCTTAGCCATCCTTAACACTTTCTTAACCCCATCTTAATTCCTGTAATATTTTTTATGTGTTCCTGTGACCTGGCATGTAATTTACAAAATTGCCATGAACACATTGGTTTTAAATAGCTCAAGCTGCCCAACCAGAGCCCATCCTCCTTTCCCAGTAAAGGCACTTTTGGTCTCACCCTCAGCCCAGCAGTCAGAGTCTGGTTTTCTAAAATAACAACTGCATAAGGTCATGAACACTCTTGTCCTTTCAGATCATCTGCAGCACCTAGCACCAATCTATCCTTAGGGACCAGGACATGACATCTTTGCTCGTTTCTAGGTGGCATGTCTGGCCTGGCTTTACTGGGTTGTTCTGTTCCCAGCATCAATGATAAAGCTCTCCTGTGATCCTTCTGCCTCACATCTCTGCCCTGGGCCTGAGTGCCCAGCACAGCTCCCAGCAAAGAGGTCTGTGTACTGCATACTGGTGACTTCTCTGACTTCCCCTGCAACACCCCTGTCTTCTTACTTCTCAGAAACCTTGCTCCCCCATCCCCACCCCCACAGAGGACAAGGTGTTGTTGTCTTCCACTTGCTGTCCCCAACTCAGGAGCAAGCCCAACAAAGGGACCTACCATGCCACTCACAGCCTGCAGTGGGTAAGGGGGTGGAACGTGCCAGCTGCATCAGTTCTCTAACCTAAGATAACCAGAGCCCAGGGGACACAGCCTACCTTAGACAGCCTTTTGCTGTAATCTGGACTCTCCTGCTTCCCCCGCAGGCTGGGGGGCACAAACCAGAAACACACGTTGACAAACTCAGGCTGAGACAAATGAGGAAGGGGAAGGAGTAAGCTGAGGAAGGAAGAACATTTTCCCCTCACTGCCCTTCTCCCCACCCCCAATCAGGGCACTGGTGTTGGATAGTCCAGGGCAGGGGGACACAAAAGAGCATGGGGCCATACCTCCATGACCAACTCAAACCCCTCCCGCTTCTTCATTTCCTCCACCAGGTACCTGTGAACAGAGAGTGAAAAATCATAGATGGAGGAAGAAAGGCAGAGACTCAGAAACAGAAAAGGCCCACAGAATGAGCCATAAGGACCTCAGAGAAAGGGAACCCTGAGAGCAGGAAAGAGTGAGGGGGAGGGACACCTGGAGAGAGGAACTGGGGCTCTCCATGCCTACCGGGCAAGGGCAAAGGCCCGGTTGACACGGCGTTCCAGCCCTTGCCCGCCCTGTGCCTTCCACATGAGCCACAGCTTCAGACAGTCCACATGACGGCCACATTGCACCACCTTGTCTCCCATGTCCAGAGCCACGTCATAGAACTTGTCCTGCTGGAAAAGGTAGCTGGCCTGGGATCCATGGCAGCGCTTGAGCAGGTTCTGTGCAGGGTAAGGAGACTGTCAGACCCTACCCTCTCTACTGAGGCTTTTTATGGGCTGTGTTAGGGGTTCTTAGCCTAGTCCACCCTTCTCTAGCCCTTGAGCCGGGCATTACTGCTGGGCTGGCTGCCAGCTGGCTCAAGCCCCTTTCTCTGGGTTTTCTCCCAACACCCAGAATTCTTCCCAGACTCTGCCCAGGATCTCTCTGACTGCAACTTCAATCTGTAAACTTTTTCCTTTACATAAAGACAGGCTGCTGGGGGAGTGAGGGAACCCAATACAGAGGGATAGGGTGGTCACAGATATTCAGCTTCAGATGGATGGTAAAGAGGACACAGTAAGGCCTGGATACCCTCTAAGGTGAAACAGAGAAGAAGACAGAGTTCCAGAGGGACAGGTGGGCTGGGGCAGGGGCAGACCCACCGACGTGTCCCGGAGAAGAAGAGCAGAGCACTGCAGGCCCACTGTGAGAAGCTTATGGGGATTCCAGGCCACGGAGTCAGCCCTGGTGGGGCACAGCAAAGCCAGGTCAGTGGCTCCTCCTCAAGCTGCCCAACCAGAGCCCATCCTCCTCTTCCAGACCCCCAGAACAGGGGCTCTGGTTCCATGGCCCCCTGCCCCCGACAGCAGTCAGGAAGAATTCCCAGATCTGACCTCCCAGCCCCAATCAACTATCTCTCTAGTTCCCCCTTCCACCAACCTCCTTCCCTGAGCCCCGTCCTATTTTCCCTAGCCCATGATTATTCTCTGCATCAAGGATCTGAAGTGCAGGATTCGAGAAGCAGGGGGCCTTATGCACCTCTGGATCCCATCCAGGAGATGCCTGTGTGTTTGTGACAGCAGGACGCTCCCACCCCAGGCAGCCTGTGGAACAGGAGAAACAACATGGGACTTGGCTTTGGTTCAGCCCACCCCACCCCCAGGCCCAAGTCCCACTCACATCCACGTGTAGCCACAGCCTATGACGCTGGCACACATCAGCAATTGCCTCCAGGGGGTCAAAGGCCCCCAGCACGGTGGTGCCAGAGGTGGCACTGACCAGGAATGGCACAGTACCCTGTTGCAAAAATGTAGAGCAAGAGGCTGCAGCAGAGTCATCTCAAAAGTGACCCAGAGCCTTGTACTGGGGCCCATCTCTAAGCTCTTTGCATGACTGACATGGCCCATTTCAACCTTATGATAATGGGTTACTGTCCTCTTTAATTTGCAGACAGGGTCACTGAGATTGAGAGATTCAGAGATCAAAGCAGAAGCTTCAGAGATGGAATTTGAACCTAGGTCTATTTCCAAATCTCATACTCTTACAAAAAATTTGGATGTCTTATTGTGAGATCAAAGGCTATTGAAAAAAATTTCAATAGTACAAGTGGCTATAATCAAAAAGAGATAATAACAATTGTTGGTGAGTATATGAGAAATTGAGATCCTCATACATTGCTGGTGGGATTGTAAACTGGTGCAGCCACTTTGGGAAGCAGTTCAGCGGTGCTTCAGAAGGTTAAATACACAGTTACTATATGATCCAGGAATTCCACTCCTAAGCATATAACCAAGAGAAATGAAAAGCATGCTCACACAAGAACGTGTACATATATGTTCATAGCAGCATTATTCATAATAGCCAAAAAGTAAAAACAACCCAAATGTCCATCAATCGATTAATGGATAAATAAAATGTGATATATCCATATAATGGAATATTATTTGGCCATGCAAAGGAATGAAGTACTGGTACATGCTATGACATGAATGAATCTTGAAGATATTATGCTAAGTAAAAAGAAGCTCATCACAAAAGCCCATGTATAGTATGATTTCAGAATCCAAAACAGGCAAATCCACAGAGACACTAAGTGTATTATCAGCTTCCTAGAACTGGGAGGTATGGGGGAGTTACAGAGTGATGGCTAACCAGCATGGGATTTCTTTTTCTTTTTTTTGTTTTTTGTCTTTTTCCATGTCCAGCAACAGATAGCAACCCTCAGTGTCGCCCCCGTACCGGACCAGAACCGGCAACGGGATTGCAACCCTCGGTGTCGCTCCCGCGCCTCGCTCAGCCAGTGAGCGGGAACCGGTCTGTATGTGGGATCCGAACCCTCGGCGGGAGTGCCGCCGCACTTCCCAAGCAGCGCACTATAGCAGTGCGCCACCGGGCCGGCCCCACCAGCATGGAGTTTCTTTCTGCGGTGGTGAAAATGTTCCAATATTGACTGTACTGATGGTTACATAACAGTAAATCTGCTAAAAACACTAAATTGTACACTTTAAGTGGGTGAATTGTATACCTCAATAAAGCAATTACCAAAAAAAGTTTATGCAATAGATAGTGAAATTCCACTATTTTAATTGCTGCCATACTACTACTCAAAGGTAACATCCATATATTAATAAATACATACTGTTGTAAGTAACAAAAATAGGTTCATAGTGCCCACTCTATACTGCAACTTGAAATATATATTCAGGGCCAAGCCCGTGGCGCGCACTCGGGAGAATGCGGCGCTGGGAGGGCAGCAGCGCTCCCACCGCGGGTTCGGATCCTATATGGGGATGACCGGTGCGCTCACAGTGCTCACTGGCTGAGCGCGGTGCGGCCGGTCTCAAAAAGGACAAAAAAAAAAAAAAAGAAATATATATTCAAAGTCTCTAAGTGGAGGTATTCTACCTTGTTCTTCTAAATGGCTACCTAGAACTCTAATATAATAGATAATAATATATATATATTAATATATTAACATATAATTAATAAATAATAATAACCATAATGGCAGCTAATATTTATACAGTGCATCTACATGCCAGGTGCTGTTCTAAGTGCTTTACATATCCTATTTCATTTAATCCTTACAACAATATGTGGTAAGTTCTATATTATGCCCATTTTGCAAAGAAAGAAACAAACAGGTATACCATGATTTATTTTACCTACTGATGGACATTTAAATTTTTTCTTTATTTTTTAAACGAAACCCAGACAGTGTCTTCTCCCTCTTACCCTCCCAAGGGAGAAGTAAGAACGATCATCAACAGCAAATGGTAGTTGCTGCAGAACACCACCAAGAGCCCACTACACACTCAGGAGAGAACACTGCACTTCCTCCTCGTGGTTTTCTGTGCTCTACACATTCAGAGAAACTTCTCTAGTAACAAACTATAGAAATGGTCCCTGAATTTACAGTCTTTAAATTTTTCTTTTAATTTTACACTTTGACCCAGGAAACATTCTCATGCACAGAATTCTATGCACTTGTGGTGATTTATAGTATAAATTGCTAGCAGTGGAACTCTGAACCAGTAGACAGATATATTTTAAAAGTGCATAGATAGCGCCAAAATGCCCTCCAAGATGGTGGCAGCAGCTGACACAGAGCCTCAAAGTGGAGGAGGGCGCTAGTGCCCCACACTTCCCGCTGCTCATGGCCTGCACCCTTTATCGCTGCCTGCACGTCTTCCTCAGCTTCTCCCTGCACACACCCTCCTCACCCACAGAAACCTTCCACACTACATACAGTTCAGGCCTCCAAGACCCTCCCTGTGGTGCTGCCTGGAACTCCCTCAGTGACTCAGTCCTGCCTCTCAGAACCTGGCCCTACCTACACATCTCAGCAGAGTCCCTCAGAGCAGCACTGTGTCCTCACCCCTCAGGTTCCCCATGCCCTCAGGGAAGGCAGGCATCAAGATCAAGGAGAGGGATGAAGGGTGCTTAAGCAGGGACAGCCCAAACAACCATCCAAGAAGGGAACAGGGTCTCACTCCTCCTCTCCAGCACCCCAGTGCCCCTCACTCACTCACCTCAGCCTTGGCCAGACTAATCTGCCTCTCTAGATCCTCAGGGATCATTTTCCCTCTGAAAAAGAAAATTCAGTGGGTAGAGAAGTAATAGGTTCTCTAGGCCAGGAGATGTTACCCTGTTGAAATCAGGGTAAGGCAGGGTTAGCAATGCAGAAGCCACATACTGGTTTTCCCTAAAAGAGGCAAAATAGATCTTAGGGCATGGGGCAGGAGACTCTGGCAAGCACTGGTAGACAGGAGGGGCAATTCTGCAGGAACAACAAGAGGAGAAAAGTCTGCCAGGGGCATGAGCCTGTGGCCAGAGCTTTCTGGCATCAGGAAGGTACACTGTGCCAAGCTGGGTCGGAGCCATGCAGGCAGAAGGGCCGTCACCTCTCATCAGCCTTGACCACTCGGACACTATCAGTGCCAAGTCCCAGAAAAGCAGCTCCCTTCTTGATGGAGTAATGACACTGTGGAGGAAGGCAGAGGGCAGGTTAGCACAACTTGGGCTAGGGGCCTGAAGGCAAGGAGGATGAGGAGGAGAGAGACTGGTAAAAGTCAAGTAGGAGCTGCAGTAGATGAGACCCTGTGGCCCAGAACTTCTCAAATGTTAATGTGCATATGAATCACCTAGGTGTCTGGCTAAAATGCAGATTCAGAAGGCCTGGGGTGGGGCCTGAGATTCAGCATTTCTAACACACTCCCAGGAGATACCAATGCTGGGGGCCACAGACACTCTGAGTACAGAGTATGGACTGAGTCCTCGGCACTCGTTGCCCCTCCCCTGCCCCCAAAGTGAATGCAAAGTGAACAGGAGTGTTTACTCAGCCTCCTTGATTGAACAAGGAAGCCTATCTTCCTTGGGGCAGGCTGGCCTTAGAGGACCTGGATGGGACAAGGGGATGACCTGGAGGTCTCTGACTCAGCTGCAAGAGAATCAGGAGCCCAGGGTGGGGCCTCCGCCTCTTCTCTACCTCCTTAGATGTGAAGAGAGCCAGGGGCGGCAGTGCCCGGAGGCCCCTCTCCTTGCAATCTGGGTAGCGCTGATAGCGGGCCAGGTTCACAGCATACATGTTGGAGATGGAACCACCTGCCACAGGGAAGGGGTGGTGGCAAGATGGAAGGGCAGTGAGTCAAGACTGCAGCTTGCCTCCCCTGACCTTTCCATCCAGAAGAACTGATCAAAGAAGCAGGCATGATTGTCCCACAGGCCATGAATTCCCAGGGCTCTTGGAATAGCACAATAGCTCGGAGCGGCCCCAGAATCAGCGGATCCTCCTGATTCCCCACCTCCATGCCCTGGGCTGCCCCCAAGCGACAGCCCCTACCCAGAGAGAGCAGGTACTAGAGCACTGATCCCAGGGCAGGAGGATAAAGAGGACTGTGCAACCTCCTCCAGGCCAAACTGGAGGGGAAAAAAATTGGAGAGTCACCCCTCCCTGCCAGCCACTTAAAGCAAGAGAATGGTGGGGAAAAGGCCAAGGAAAGGTGCCCCCTTATCACATACCAGGGCAGAAGACCCCATCCCCAGAGCTCCAGCCCACCAGGACCCGGAGTTTCTTCAGCACCTCCTCTTCCATGAGTGTAAACACAGGGGCGATTTCATATGTGTACCTGCCAGAGAGGGCACAATGAGAAAAGGAAGGAGACAGGAGGGACTACCAGGTCAGGCCCTTCAACTGCAGAGGAGGCAGAGAGGGAGACAGTGTGACTGAGCAAGGAAGGATCTAAAGAGAGAAACAGGCTGGTGACAAAATCAGGGAAGCAAGAATGAGAAAAACTGGGGTCAGGAGGCATGAGAAAGCTTGGAGAATGGAGGCCCTAAGGATACCAGGGAAACACTCTGCCAAGAGATTCCCAGAAAACGGCAGAGAGGGGACAAAAACCATGCTCCTCCCCTGTGCCCACCCCCACTCCCCAGCATATCTAAATCCTTTTCAGGGTGGTGGGAAGGGCCTTGGGATGGCTCACTGGCTGGTGTTGAGGCTCTCCGTGATGATGCGCCCAGCCAGAGCATGGGGGTCCAACCCAGAGAAGAGCTGGTTGAAGAACCGAGGGTGACCTGGAGAAAAGGGCAGGGGGGAGGGCTCATTGTGGAGCTGGGTGAAAACTCCAGAGACTCCTCCCACCAGAACGTAGGCTCACTAGTCTTGACACTGTAGTGAATCACAGCCCGACACCGCTCCAGGATCTGCTCTTGCGACTCCCCCTGGCTCCGCAGCTCCAAGTCTAGCAGCTGCTTCAGCTCCTCTGGCTCCTTCCACTGGCAGACCTAGGAGGTGAAGCCGGGGAGGTTGGGGGCCTTAGACATCCGTGGACTGGCTGCTCAAACCCCATCTCAATAGACACAATACATTATCAGCTTATACATAAAACAACAATTTGGGGTTATTTTCAAAGCGACAGATGAACAAGAGTAAATAAACATAGTAAGACCCAGTATGCAAATCCCTGAGGCACAGGGCGGACAGTGATAAATTCTGGGGAGAAGCTTTTCCAAAAGGGGAAAGTTCTGAGCCAGGTTTGGAAAGAGAAAGGGATGGCTGATAGGCAGGAGAAGGAGGAATAAAGGACCCACCTTCTCAGAGGCACTGCTCCCTTTCTGAATGGCCTCATCCACAACAATCTCAAACACGTTCCGGAGCAAGGCTTCCACAGCCACGGGGTCTTCATCAAGGGAGAGGAGTGGGTTTGAGTCACCCATCAGGATAAAATCTGTGAGCAGAGCAGGAGTCACTGCTTACACAGCCTGTGTACTCCCCTGGGACCTAACCAGCAAGAGTACCCAACCATAATGGGCCTGAGGCCCAGGACCTGCACTTCGGACCCAGCCTTCAGTGCACAGGCAAGGACAGGTGACGGCATCCCAGCCAGTGGAAACAGGTGGGAGGGGAAAAGGCAGTTAGTGCAGGTGGAATCTAGTGGCCATTGCCCACCTAAGGCAAAGATGAGAAGCCTACCTTTCTGCTCAGGGGAGCCGGAGGCAAGGTACACAATTAGCTTTTCAGAATAGTAGGACCAAGACAGCAGAGGAAGTGAGGTCAAAGCAGCGGTCACATGGCCATGATATAACTCTCACGACCATTGCCCTAAAGAGAACTTTGACAGATTTGGAATAGGGACAGCAGGTTGAAATAAGTTCCGTGAATATAATCATTAGCTGAAGTGACCTCAGGGTTGAGAGTAGCAGAGAGCCAGCACAAAAGAGGGGATTCCCAATGTGATTCCAAGGGCCTAGAGTGGGGACATGGGAGATGTCTGGAGGGGAAACAAAAGTGAGGGGGGACAGGAAACTGCCTTGGGTAACCCTGCAGACTAAGTGCAGAGGGAGCCTAAGAGACTAGCAAAGTAAACTGGTTTAGGCAGGCCTCAGAGGCAGAGAGTTTTTCTTTTTAAAACCAAGAAGGACATTAACTCACAAGATAGAATAAGCAAAGAAACATGAAGAGAGTTAGGAAAAGCGCCCTAGCCCCTGGCTGAAAAGATGCTGGTAGGACCGAGTAGAGTTTGTTTAAAACATTCACAAGTTTTTTCTGACTTCATGGGATCTCTAGGCCATAAATTCCTCTAACCGTTAACTCCCTCATATCTTTCTTTCCTTCCCTTATACAACCTAGAGTTCATAGTCCATTTGGGTTTTTTTGTTTGTTTCTTGGGGGTTTTTTATAGTCCATCGTTTTAACCACTCTCTTTCCAATATACTCAACACCCCTGCCCAAATGTCCTTCCACCAAATCCACCTGGCAAAACCCCAATCCAACTGACCCGACCTTCTCTCACCAAATCCACCAGGCTGTTTTCTGCTGGTGAAAACCACATAACCATTCAAACTGGTATCACTATCAATTCATGGTCTCTGTCCTCATTCCAATTAAACACAGCAGATTAAACACATGTTTACTGATACTCCTCCCTGAAACCCCACTAAAATTACATAAGTGGAATTTTAAATCTGAAGGAATAAGATGAATGAGAAATGACACAAGAGGGGCTGGCCAGTTAGCTCAGTTGATGAGCGTAGTGCTGATAACACCAAGGTCCAGGGTTCAATCCCTGTACTGGCCAGCCACCAAAAAAACAAAAAGTAAAAGAGAGAGAGAGAAAAGAAGTGAGACATGTCAATACTTGTAGAAGATAGAAGAAAGCAGATGAGAAGGGGTAACTGGTTTAGCATGTGACAGGATGCCAAAACCAGTGAGTCTGCAGAAGACCAATGTGAAACAGGCTGGTTCTTGGGGCAGAAGCCCAGAAAGGCTCAGGAATGGAAGCACAAGGTATCTTGGAAGGCAGGAGGCGGAAGGCACAGCTAAAAACATAGAGATTGAATGAAAATCTGAATAAGGAACAGTTAGACCCTCATTTTCCTTCTCCTGACCTTTCAGCCAGGGAACTCCCCTTTTGTCCCCCTACTTCCAAAGCAGCAGCAGGTTTATTCTCTGAAGAAACTAAAACAGAAAGACACTGCCTAGCAACATTACTATTTTTCAGTCAACAACTCTATCTCCAATTCTCTGTAGCAACCATTTCAAAAATTTTCCACACCTCTCAAACAACTGACCCATTTACTTTCTCCCTCCCTCCGCCTCTCATTTTAAATTTCTTAAAGAAAAGAGAAGCCATCAAAACTTACTTAACTTTTTTGCTACCTGCACTCTGGATCTCTTCATTCATTCATTGAGCACCTAGTATCTGCCACACATTTGGTGGCCACTAGAGGTACAATGGAAAGAAAAAGACCACAACCCTAACCTCATGAAGTTCACTATCTAAAGCACAGGTCACAAACTGGAAGATGGTGAGCCAAACCCTACCCACGGACCTGGTTTTGTCTGGCTTGCACACTACGTTTAAAAACTTTTTTAAAAAATTCTACACTGAATGGGGCCGGCCCGGTGGCACACTGCTACAGTGCGCTGCTTGGGAGTGCGGTGGCACTCCCGCCGAGGGTTCGGATCCCACATACAGACCGGTTCCCGCTCACTGGCTGAATGAGGTGTGGGAGCAACACCGAGGGTTGCGATCCCATTGCCGGTCCTGGTCCGGTCCGGGCGCGACACTGAGGGTTGCGATCCGTTGCCGGACACGAAAAAAGACAAAAAAAAGGAAAAAAAAAAAATTCTACACTGAAAGATACTTCACATAAAAATACAGACTTCCAGCTTCCTGTGGAAAAAAAATTAAAAGACCTAGCAACACTGGACCTGAATTAATAAATATGAACAGCCAGCTGTAGTTGGAGCTGCCCCTTTATTATTACAGTTTCACATTTCATTTTTTTTTTTTTTTTTTTTTTTTAAAAGGACATTTGGTCTCCCTAGAAGACACATGGGTTTCTGGAATAAAACCTACACTTTCCAGGTTTCTTTACAGCCTGGTATGGCCATGTGATTAAGTTCTTGCTAATGGAATATAAATGGAAATGAACAATGCAGCTTCCAGGCAATATCCTTAAAAGGAGGGCACATGATCTCCATTTCTTCCTTTCTACCGGCCAGAATATGAATGTGATGGCTGGACTTCCACCAGCATCTCAGATCCAGAGGAGACCTTGAGAATGGAACTGCTTGGAAATGTAGCTGAGCAGCAAGACAGGAGTCTGGCACCCTGACACTATGCAGTGCTATCCTGGACTGACAATCTCCAGACTTCTTGCATCTGAGAGAGAAATGAGCTTCTATCTTGTTTAAACCTGTGTGTGATTTTTTTTTTAATTTCTATATTTTACAACTAAATTTAATCCTTTTTTTTTTTTTTTTAAAGATGACCGGTAAGGGGATCTTAACCCTTGACTTGGTGTTGTCAGCACCACGCTCACCCAGTGAGCAAACCGGCCATCCCTATATGGGATCCGAACCCGTGGCCTTGGTGTTATCAGCACCACACTCTCCCAAGTGAGCCACGGGCTGGCCCCTCACATTTCATTATGTTTTCTTTTCAATTTTTTAGTTAAGCAATATGTTCACATAGTTCAAAAATCTAAACATATAAAAATATTAATATGGTGAAAAATCTAATCCCCAACCCATTCCATATGCCCCATTCCCAACCCTACCTCCAAAGGTAACCATTTTTTTCTTGGGTATCCTTTCAGAGTTTTTAATGCAAATACTAATAAATGTGAACGTGCGTGCTTATTTTCTCCCTTTTCACACAAGAAATACTACATAATCACTTTTCTGCACCTTGATTTTTTTCAGTTAACGATATATGGGTGCTCTTATCATTACATATAGAACTTCCTCATTCTTTTTTTTAATATAACAGCTTTACTAAGATATAGTTTACATACCACAAAACAAATCCCTTTAAAGTGTACAATTCAGTGGTCTTTCATATAATCACAAAGTTGTGCAACCATCATCATCATCTAACTCCAGAACATTTTCATCACCCCAAAAGAAACTCATTAGCAATCACTCCCCGTTTCCGCCTCCCCCAAACCCCTGGAAACCACTAATCTACTTTCTGTCTCTATAGATTTGCCTAGTCTGGACATATCATATAAAAGGAATCACAATATATGGTCTCTTGTGTCTTGTTTCTTTCACTTAGCATAATGTTTTCGAGGTTCATACATGTTGTAGAATATATCAGCACTTCACTCCTTTTTACAGCTGAATAATACTCACTGCATAGATAGACCACATTTTATTTCTCCATTCATTAGCTAATGAACATTTGCATTGTGTCTACTTTTTGGCTATTGCCGCTATGAACCTTTGTGTACACGTTTTTGTGTGGTCATATGCTTTCAATTTTCTTGGGTACATGGTAGCAGAATTGCTGGGTCGTATGGTAACTGTATGTTTAACCTTTTGAGGAACTGCTAACCTGTCTTCCAAATTGGCTGCACAATTTTGCATTCCCACCAGCAACATATGAATTTTCCAATTTCTCCACATCCTTGTCAACACTAGCTGTTGTCTGTCTTTTTTATCATAGCCATCTGTATTTTTCATTTTTTTTTTTCCTTTTTGTCTTTTTTTGTGACCGGCAACGGATCGCAACCCTCAGTGTCACACCCGTACTGGACTGGGACCGGCAACGGAATTGCAACCCTCGGTGTCGCGCCCACACCTCGCTCAGCCAGTGAGCGGCCGGTCTGTATGTGGGATCCGAACCCTCGGCGGGAGCGCTGCCACACTCCCAAGCAGCGCACTGTAGCAGTGCGCCACCAGGCCGGCCCTGTATTTTTCATTTTGATAGGGATTGCCAACATCCACAAAGGTCGCACCAATGGACGTAATTGCCCTTTGTTCTCAGACTTAGCAACACAGTATGTTGTCCAACCTTTGAAATTGAGGAGTAAAAAATGATATTTCTGTATACAGTTTTAGTTTTGTTTGAATGCCTGTATTAATCAGTTTTGCTATCATAACAAATGACTTTAAAACCCCACTGGCTGGGCCGGCCCATGGCTCACTCAGGAGAGTGTGGGTCTGATAATACCAAGGCCACGGGTTTGGATCCCACGTAGGGATGGCCAGTTAGCTCACTGGGTGAGCATGGTGCTGACAACACCAAGGGGTTAAGATCCCCTTACCAGTCATCTTTTTTTAAAAAAAAAAAAAAAAAAACCCACTGGCTTACAACAGAGGTTTATTTCTATTTTATGGTTTACACTGGTGGTGGGAGTGTTGACTAGAGCTCTGATATATGTGCCTTTATTCCAAGACCCAAGCTCAGGGAGCAGCCCCTATCTAGGAC